TTGACCCAAACTCTGGTTGAATTGACTGACTACTTTTTGACTTATCCCCATGGAAGTAATACCTTAAGTCACCCTTGTTCGTGACTAGTAAGTACACTGGTGTGCTGCTTATTCCGGAGTTTGTCGTAGTAATCAGTTGACGGTGTGCATGTTTGTGTAGATTGGCGCGTGTGCTAGTTATCAAATCATCCGCGATTGCACTATGCCACACGAATTTTTCATCCACATCCGTCTGGTTCCCTATTTCAGCTGGATAAAAGCGTAAACGCTGCAGATCATAGGCTTGTCTGACAAATGTAACTATGCCATCAGAAGACGAACAGGCGAGGGACCCTACCTTTTTGCGCGGTCCGGAGGTCCCGAATAAACGACGTTATCATTTGCTGGCGGAAATATTACCTCCGCCTCCAGATGTGCCGCTGCCAGCGGAACCTCCCTTTGATGCCAACGAGCTGTTCAAGTTGACCTTCGGAAACAAGCTACCAAAGTTTCTGGTGCAGGTTGATGAATTTACTCAGGTGAGTAGGTTGTACCTCACGAGCCCAATAATGTTCGTATTTGAGCAGGCCGTACTAATTCGCCAGGTAGGTGGGGTGTTTAAGTTAACGTGAGTCTGGACTTTGTCTCAACATTGGTTTTGCTGCAACTTTGTCGCAGGTAGATTTTATCCTCTGAGCTTTCTTCTGTTCGATACGATTTTACAGTTGCAGCGAAACAGTGACAACTAAAAGCTGACAAGGTTAGGTATAATTGACTTTCACGTTGTCTGAACCCTGTGCAAACTATCATTTCCAGTTTTACTTGTCAACAGCGTAGTGTTGTCTGGTAATCAAGTAACAGTTTCTTAGTACTGTAAGTCACAAACATGATGAGAGAGCAGGCTGTAATTTTTGCAGACGCCGAGTTGTCTTCACACTTTCAACATTTATTCCAAAGTGTGCACATTTCTCACTCAGCCATACACCAATCATCAGATGAGCGGCAATAACTCGGTTACTAGACTTCGCCATATTACGTGTGGTGGAATACGGTATTTAAGTCTATGACAACGTTATTGGGACACGTTCCATAACAGAGAGATCGTTACTAGCAAATTGATACCTTGTCAGTTTGGCGACAGCCTTCCTCTCTAATCGGATGGTGATAGCGATACTCAGTTATCTACTGCACTGAGACCGAGAAAAGCAGAGTTTCCGATGACTCACCTGGTGTGCTGCTCTATTTGGGTTTACAGTCAGTACAATTGATCCAAGTCTTGTGCTAGCCTGTAAGCGTACAGTGAATTGCTGCACTTAGATACGCTGTCCCGGTGCGTTCAGAGAAATTTCCGCTTCAAACAGAACCTCGACGTGACCAAACATCTGAGAAGGTAAACCACAGCATCATATCATAGCTGGGTGAATACTGCGAAGGATGACTGTATCTGCATAGTTGAACTTAAACCGACTTAGGGTTATTCAAACAACGTCAACTGATGTTTCAGCAGTAAGGCCGATGTTTCAGCCACTTAGCGTGACATTGTCCGTTACTCGTGTATCGGACAGCACCTGCGTGTACTACATCGAAACAAGATAGAACCCAACTGCGATTGCAGCGCTAAATTTACCAGCCTTGTTTTTGGAAAAGGGCGAGTTACGTTTTTCCAAAGTCTATGGACTGACTTCGTGATCAAGCGCACTGCTCGTACGCCGTGAAAATACCACCCCTTCGCCCATTGCACACAGTGGGCTTCCGACTGTTGATTCGAATAGATAGTGAACATCTAAGCTTTTGTTTGACATTCTGCTGCGTAGTTTACTGAATGACGGTTAGCAGGCCTAAATTTGAAACGGCTAGACTGAGCATTGGTCAACTCCTTCATCACCAACAGCAGTATGTCTGTACAATGAACTGATGCTGTCATGCAAACATGTTGACCTATGGAATGAGTACCAATACGGTGTGGGGTGAAGGGGGCCTACATGCCCCAAGCGAGCATTCTTAGTCATGTACAATCCGCAACAACTAGCTATCTTGCAAAGACAAGCGCTAAGATGAGTGTCCAAACAGGATAGTATACCTGGGTGATGACACAGCAAGGCAAACATACAGTGAGCGTAGTACACAAGGACTTCGATAGTGTGTGAGATCTACCGGTTACGACGAGTGTGGTATGGTCTGGACGCAGATTCACACTCAGTTGTTGATTGAAATTAATGCCACCAATCGGACTAACACACGTGTCACATAACCCTTCGTTGTCTTTCAGATTCTTCATTCTTGCACCTACTATAGCAGTCCGTTATGTACGAATTCCAAATTTTACGACGAGCAGTACGTACTTCGGTTTGATTCCGAAGATACAGTTAACCATTACCCTACTGGAGCGAGGATGCACCAAATGGCTGGGTGCACAATCCCCGTGTAGTGGGCTTATAGAGAAGTAATCATTAAATCGCCGCTAAAACAAGTGTTGTGGGCTCATCCTGTGCCTGCGAGCAGGCCATCTACCATGCAATTGACTTTACCCAATACAGAATGTACACGTTCGTCGGGACCATCACCATTAGCATTTTACACCGCGTATCATACGATAGAACAGTTCGTTGGTAATCGTAAAACTATTGGGAGCCAGTAGCGCGGAAACCCACCACTTCCGATGTGGTCCCATTGATTGTAATAACCGAGTTTTACCTCAAAGTAAATCGAAGTCTTGGTTGGGATTGCGTGTTGCGGTCCACCCTACCCAGCGGGTACTCCAACCCCAACTTTGAACCCCTAACTAGTGTCAAGTGTTGCTCACGGATCTCAGTGACCTAGTGACCAAGCCGTTAGGCTTTAACCATTGGGCCCCGAGTTTCACTACCAGTTCAGGCTATATCTAATTGATGAGTTCAATCGAGGACGAGCCCGGTCGTATGGTATCAATGTTCGAAACGAGCAACACCGGAGCCCCTACAGTTACGGTCCTGGTAATCGGAATAGTCTATACCTGCCTCAAAGTAAGACTAGGTCATAATAGAGATTGCGTGTCATAATCCAACCACAAGTTAAGTACTTCAAGGTCTCCCTGCATCATTGAAACTTGTTACGGATTGCTTGTTCCACAGTGATGCACCGTTTTACATTTTGATTAGTTCAGTCAACTAACTGCGATCAGAACACTGAAATTTTTCACATCCCGTTGTTGCGACTCGCCTGACCATGTGCATGATAGCTGACAGTAATGAAGGAGATAAAGGGTAACGCATAAATGAAGGTAGAATAAACCTGGTTTCAAGTTAATGACTAGACGCGAAAGCTCCACAGACTCCACACCCGCGTATCGGTTAAAGTCTTCAATGGCCGATCCTATTGACCTGAACTGCGGTGTTCCACTAGGATCAGTGTTGGGGCCACTCTGATTTTTGGTCCTCATCAAAAATCTTGCCCGTGTAATCTAGTCGGATTTCTTGCTTTCAGCCGATAGCATCAAAATATGGTGGGCGTTAGCTAATCAGGACGATCGTGATCCGTTACAACAAGATCTGGACCGCGCTTTGAAATGTTCAAAGTCAAATCTGTTTTTCTCAATGCGGACATGTGAACAATTGTACATATACGCCACAGGCCCATTAACGCCCAGATGCTTGGAGACCACATCTTGCAGACCGCCTCATGAGAGCACGACCTTGGAGTGATGATGCGAGACGGCCTCGGCTGTTCGGAGCAGTGCCTTAAGGCATCCAAACCGCGAATCAACATGTTGGTCTCCAACGTAGCGCGTTCATGCGGTTCGTCACTTCCATCTTCCTGCAAATGCTCAACGCATATATGAGTCCCCATGTAGAGTGCGCCATTCAAGACTGGGAACGCCGGCTAAAAAGCGATCTGGTTGCACTGGTAACCCCAAAGCTAAGGGCGACCAAAAATGTGAAGAACTTGTTCCACCTGTCATACCAACTGCGACTGTAAGCTCTCGGAGAGCACGGCAGAAGTTATCACCGTCTTCCGGGTGACTTCATTTTGGCGTCAGATTATGAAAACTTCAGTCACGCTTGCCGCCACCTCCTGAAACTTTGCCGTACGACAAAAGTGAGGGGTCACAAGCTAAAAATGGCCACCCAATACAGTCAGCTGGAATGTCGCAAGAATTATGTTTCTCTTAGAATTCGTGAGCCGTGGAACGTTCTTCCGCCTTATGTCATTGCTGTGCTCACGCCACCCATATTTAAAAAACGACTTGAGGATGCATTACGCCATCTGTATTGCTTGATTTGACTTCTGTTCCTCGAATGACGACAAGACGCAGACAAACATTTTGCTCACCAATGTCCACTGAATCGGGGTCAACGAATATACATGTGTGTTAACGTGGACATTATGGTGAGACCACAGATGCGCGTTTAACTTTGCAGTCGTTTGTAATTGAACTTATGTAATTCACACAAACCATCCAACGGGACTTGTCAAGCCCGGACATTTTTACCCGATTTAAACCATTGTTCCATTGAAAACGCGAGTCCCGAAGCACTTGTTTAAGAAGAAATCACAACACATGGGTTAAACCAGGCCCCCAATTTCCCAACACCTCTTACCATTCATCTCGTGGCTATCATAAGCTTTTACAGCCAAATAGAGGTAACAATACGTCAGGACAAACAGTCCGCTAGCGTACTAGATTTCCAACTAATGTAACAGGCTCAACTTTGATAGACACTCCAGTCTTTATGGGAATTCTGCTACACACATTGACTGGAGCATTTTATATTGCTTACCCAGCTCTACCCACTATATATGGTCAACGTCATACAACTACTGGTCATCAGCAACTAGCCGCTTCATAGTTCATCGTAGATGAGATGGCTCTTTTTCCGGCCCTAACTTCAGTTGACGGGATGATATCGTCGTCTCCATAGATACTTAGGATGAACGTACACAATAAAACAGCCAGATGCGTGGACGTTAACCTCAACAGTTAATATCTTTGGATAGCAACGTCGAATACCACCGCTTTTGGTTCTAATACACTGTCTCCAGCGAAATCACCGAAGAAATAGGCCTTCGTGGTTCTAACGCTGCATACCCCATTGGATCGAACTCCTGGAACGATGTACTCTGGGGACAGGCTATTAGCCAGATGCCAATCTCCGTGGCTAAAGCATAACTCAGCGACAACTCCGCGCCATAGATTACGTTACCTGAGGTTCCAAGCAGCACACTCCCCTCCACCGATGACCTAAGCGGTTTAAGAATCGGGATCAATGAACTGCAAGTAACTAGGAGAAACTGCAGTACCCAATTTTTTCTGTCAGCAACTCACTTGTACCTGCAGTATGCAGCTATATCCAGGGACGATTAAAATCAAGAACAACTTCTTGTTGGGTAAGCTTGCTACAGACATTGGCAAGATAATGTTAGCAGGAGGGGATTTGTCAGAAGGTAGACTCCACAACCTACCAAACGTCATTGCTGTCTAGCCTGTCTCACCGCCGCTTCCTACGACTAAGTTTTATCTTAATCTGGAACGCATTCGAAGTTATATCCGTCTCTAGCACATAAATCAGCGGCCGATTGCATAAATCTACTCTACTTGCAATTTGTCCAGTTGGACCACTAGCCCAATACTAGGCCTAAACCCTCTTCACACCTACACATTTATACAAACTCACAAGGGACACGTTGATAAACTCGACCTTATCACTCCCGCGCCTATCATTCGCACCAGTCTCGATTCCAATAATTAAGGCAATCGTGAAAGAGCACGATGCAACCTTCCTTCTTATTACATTGTACGCTTTCACTCATTCTACTTAATGGCGGCATGAACAGCAAACGGAACTTTTAGGCACACAATCAGTCGCTTTTACCGAAATGTGGTTGTCATACTAATTCTTCTTGCGTAAATCTCCACAAGTGACACAAAATGTCATCACTCATTTTCCATCTCAAATTGACACTGAACCCGGTTCACCTCCCAGCTACGCAATCCATAGCGAAGTTGTTGATTGGATATGCCAACTGGGACACACTCCCTCTCAACCAATGTACGCACTGCAGTGGATTTGTTTTGTCGAGTATAACACATGCCCCAAAAGATGAGACCGAACTCCCTAACAACACGAAATCCAGGCAGCTAGCTTAGAGAATTAAAACGACCTGTGATTTATCACTGAGTTTCCGAATACGTCAGTTCAGATACAGAGTTCACATGCGCAAGCAGTGCGGAGAAAAAGTGACGAGCAGTTGGCTCTACGAGCGATATGTCATTTTTCTGGACTGTCGAATCAATAGCATCTTTCCTCTCTATTGGTTGAGAGAGTGGTCTCTTACTTCACTATTCCATTCTCATCTGTGGAGATTTTATCTCCATCATCATAACCTCTATAAATCTCGAGACTGACCCCCTAATTACACGCATAGAGAAAACAACAGCGAATAACTTGTGCGAAGCCCACTCTTCGCTGAGCGACATCCAAGCCGGATTTCGATAGCTTTTGTTGGGGCAGCTTATATTCTTGCTGGAATTTGCCCACTTTTCATATCAACAAATGACATCGTTTCTGTTCCCAGCTATAAGAATGGTTCCTAACGGGGAATCGACTAACACAGATCAATTTACCACGGCCCCATAGTCACCAGGTTTTTCGAAAATTTCTTTAGTAGGTGTGTGTTGATTCCGATTATGCATTCGAAATTCTAATTCTGATCACACAAACTGCACTCGACCGAGTAAGATGTAGACAATCGCTGGTGATGTTGATGAAATCTTTTGGAGACCGGAACCTGAGTATCGTCATATTTGAACCCTTGCTCCCAGATAGTAACTTTATCTGATCATTACCATTTCACCGCACCTAATCCCCAGTGGTGTTGAGCATGAAAGTATACTTGTCTGCTACTTCATATTGACGATATCAATATGCTTATTAGGCATGGCTAGCTTTTCTGTTCGCTGTATATATCTAGTGTTTGTTTCTTATCTTTGACCTGATGGACCTCAAAACACAGCAGTACTCATCCAAAAAGACACATTTCCTGGTGCTATCGTACGATACATAGTTGACGACTTTACCTACCCAAATATCGTGCGTTTTGCCCTGTGACTGCTCGGTCCTGTAAGTCTGTATTAATTTCAACGAGGAACATGTTCGTATGCAACTGCGTATTCGGGATCTAGAGATAACATTAACTATTTCAACTATTTGAGAAGCACGAGGCTAACATAGTGCAAGGTAGAACATCTCTGGATGATACATCTAACAAATTCCAAACTATCTGCGCTACGGTAGAGATTGTTAACATCTTTGACCGTCCTATTTTCGAAATTTGTGGCATCACTTGTAGCAATATGAAAAACCGATGGCAAACTCGTAGAAACTATACTGACCGACTGCCGGACTTCTTTTTAGTACTGCTTTCCACCGGTACTCTAGAGAGTGTAACGAT